GTGGAGGTACCCCTGTTTCTGAAGCCAGGCCAGTGCAGGAGGCACCAGAAGCATGCCTGCTCTTACCCAGAGTGCCCTGGGCAGGGCCGGGGTCTCAGGCAGCTCAGACCTGAGCTTCTGCACCCTATGGCCATCCTGGCGCCAGCCCCAGACCAACCCTGACAGCGTCGGTTTCTAGAGCCTGCCACTCTGCTCCCTGGGGCCTGCTTGGCCCGGCTCCCCGGCTTGGCTACAGACCAAGCCAGAGGCAGGGGCTGCACCGTCTGTTCCCTGCAGTTTGTGTCCGCTGGGTGAAGAACCGTCCCGAAAGCCTGCGTTGATGGAGTGATGGAAGGGCAGGCATTCCTCTGCCCCGCCCTCTCCCCTCCCAACACAGGGCGCCTCCTGCCCCGGACTTCCAAAGCTGTGTTGTTGCAGGTAATTAAAGGGTTTTAATTAAATTAGGATCCCATCTGGCTGGGACCAGCCAGGCCCTTAACGAGGATTGCGTGTCACCAACATCAGAATGTGGATGGGGACTCAGACGTGTGGGGGTTGAATTTGGGGACTGGAGGCCTTTCAGACGGGGTGGAGAATCCTTCGGAACCCTCAGGGCCTCCGGGCCATGCTGCAGCAACTCATTCCCCTTCCGAAAACGGAGGCCGCGTGCCCCGGTGCCAGGGAGCCGGGGGGAGGACCAGAGCTTTCCCAAGTTCGTTCTTGCCTACCGGCCCAGGAAAACCTCTCTGATGTGTGGCAAGATACGGGAGCATCCTCTCATGTCTCCAGATGAGGAAACAGGTCCGCAGTAGGGCAGCGCTCAAACCCATCCCCAGGTTGATGGCGAGGTGGTGGGTGGGTAGGGAAGGGGGGCAGGTGGCAATAGATGTAACTGTAGGAAATGGAGACCCAAAGCACGGCGGCTTACGTAAGACAGACATTTGATTTGTCTCTCACGGTAAAGTCTGAGCGGGGAGGCAAGTTAGGGCTGGCATGGTGTTTCTCTCCACACCATTTTCTATTTCATGAGGCGTTCGGGAACCAAGATGTCCCCCAGCTCATTGCTCTGCCACTCCCAGGATGTGACTCTCGTGCCCCTGGTCTAAGATGGCAGCGAGAACTGTCTTTCAAACTGTCTTACCAACTGTCTTTCTAGAAGTTGCCAAATAGCCCTTTGGCTTATGTGTCACTGGCCAGATCTCAGTCACATGACTTCATCCAGGCGCAAGTGAGGCAGAGAGATGTCGTATCTATCTCAGGCAGCCAGAAGCCCAGCTTAATCCTGAGGATCCCATTCCTGCGGAAGAAAGGGAAATAGATAACATGGAACAATTCCCTGCCTCCTGCGTTACGGGGCAGAACCGGGCAGGGAAGCTGGGTATCCTCCCTCCTCCTCCCTCCAGTCCCCAGCTACACCAGGAGCAAGGCTGAAGCGGACATAACCCATGTCCAAAAACAGACGAGGAAGAGGTAACATTTGTCGAGAAGGTCGTTTTATTTCCCCCAAAGTGCTCCAGTGTAAGTAGATCCCTAGGTTTCCACCTGAGGAGGTCCGGCAGATGACGTCCTATGCCCAAAGCCACCCAGCCAGTCGGGACGCAGACACCACGTGTTGTCCATTTGGGGGCAGCCTCCGTGGTTTGGGAGATGGGCCCGAGACGATGGACTGGAGAGCTTTGAAGCAGGCATCTGTCGCTTGGGTTATCCAGTCAGCTGTTGAGCTCAGCAGGCCGATGGCAAAGAGGGGTCCCGTGGAACCAGAGCCCAGCCCCCGACTCCTGATTGCGCGGTCTCCTCCGGCGTTCGTCGCCTTCAGGATGGCGACAGCTGCCACTCCGGGACTTTAGTGTAACTGGCAGGCCCCCCCCTGCATTCAAGCTTGCCTCCTCCTGGTAGGGCTGTTGGGGCCTCTCTTTGCCTGTCGCCCCAGCCCCCGATTCTCCTTGTGGCACCACAGGACTCAGAGTCTCCGGAAGTAACACTTCTCTCTCCCACTCCCAGCCATGGTATTGAGTCACTTCCCAGCCCAGAGTGACTGGTTCACTGTGTCTCCCACAACCCCCCAAACCTACCCAACTTGACATTCCAGGTCCCCGGTCACCCTCTGACCTTCAGCTGCCTCCACCTCCATGCACACCCCTTTCCCCCCCCTTCCCTACCCACCCACCACCTCGTGCAGCTCTGAGCAACGGGCCTCGCCTCAGGAGACTGCCACACGCAAGGTCACTGGCATCCCTGCCAAGGATGGCGAAGGGGGTGACTCAGTTCCCGCTTGCTCATCCCAGGGAGGAAAAATGAGGGGGAAGGAGGAGAGAGGAGGGACCTAGACACCTCTTGCTTTTGCCTCACGCTTCATTCAGAGGAAGACTCAGCTTTGTCACCCGTTGACCCGCCATGGATTCCCTCGTTAGCTTTGCAGGCTGCTGGGAAGATTCACCCCATCACAGGTGGGGACACGGAGGCCTAGACAGTACCTGTGCCCAAGACCAAAGGGCAGAGGCAGCCTCCAGGGGTTCTGAAAGCAAGCTCTCCCACCCGTGCCCTTATTGCCGTTCTTGCCTCGGGAGACGTCAGTCTGACGAGGGAGGCACAGACTGGCCTCATGGGGTTACAGACCCTGGTTCCTCAGTCTCTTAGGGTGATGTGGGCCATGACCGTTGCTCCTCTCGGATGAAGGAGAAGAGGACTCTGTCCTGGGGTGGCTCCCTAGCGGGTTTGAGCTGATGGAGGAGCTGGACCACTGGACCAAAAGCCTTGTCACAGCAGGGCAGTGGTGGGGGAGGCCAAAGGGCTGGGGTGGGAGTAGGACCTAGAGCTGCTTCCTGCGAGAGGAGACAGGTTCATTCCAGAGGAGTCTGCTCCCCTGTGTTTGAATGGCAAGATCAGACGATCAGAGAGCGCCTGGTAGTGACTGGGGGTCCATCTCCCCTGGGAAGATGTCATGGATGTCGCTCACCAAGGGGAGCAGAGATTGTGCCTTCGTGATGAGAGATAGTTGGATAAACAGACCCCTTACCTTCATGAGGACCATGGGGGCATAGGAAATATCTGGGGGTGGCCAGAGTATCAGGGCCCAGAGGTCTATTCCAAAAGAATTACAGCTCAGGAGAAAAACCTATTAGCAAGATCCTAGCAGAGAGGAGCAGCCAGGTTAGCGGAGAAGGCGGGAAAGGAGGGAGGAGGCCGCGGACTGTGCGCGAGGCTGAAATGAAGTTATTGAAATGAACCCACCCCCTGCCCAAGCAGACCGTGTGCCAGGCGGGCCAGCCCTCCAGCTGTCCGCAGCATCTGGCTCTCCACAAAAGAGGAGCCGGAGGGGGTGGGGCAGAGGGTCCCCTGCTTCCTGCTGCTAGTTCCACCGGACCAGGTGAGGAGGGCTCGGGACCGCTGGCCTGCTTCTCTTCCTCTAGCGCCCACACAGCTGTGGGAAGAGGTGAGTCTGGAGGGCATCCGCAGGTGATAGAGTCCACCAGATCCCAGCACACCCCCCACCTCAGCCCCAGGACAGAGCCTGAGCCCCTGGGCCTGTCTGAATTCTGAGCACCTATCCCCACGGCCCAGTGTGTGGGGGGGTGTCTCAAACCTCCGCTCGGGAGAGGTGACCCCAGGAGTCATGGTGGAGGGGAACGCTGGAACCGGAGTGTGAGCTTGAGTCATGTGCCCTTTCTGGGTCACTTCTTACAGCAAGATAGCTGCTAAGGCCTTGTCCAGCTCTGCTCTGCAGTGAGAGGAGCCCTGAGCCATGCTGAGCGCCGGTGGGCAGGGGAGGCAGGCTGGGGGTGGCGGGACCACCTTCCCCACATGCTGGGATGCTCCTTGCTCTGGCCGCACGGCTGGAAGGGACCCAGGGGACCTGAGTGCTGCCCTTCCAAGCCAGCAGACCTAGGATGGCCTCATAGGGGGTAATGAGATTTTGGTATTTGGGGTTCAGCCCTCTGCTCACTGAGCCCCAAAGGGCCCAGCTGACTCCCAGGCAAGATGCCACTGGCAGACATCCATCCTGAGGCCCTCCTCTCGGTGGGGGCAGGGCAATGACTGCTTTCAAGCCTCCTTCTGTCCCCATTTTCCCCCAACCCGCCAGTTCCTGCACCAGCACGTTATCAGACTGAACCCCTGACACCCCGAGTCTCCGGAAGAGCCCTTCCAGGAGATTTCCCCAGGAGAAGAAGCTGGAAGTCACAGTTGGGAGAGAGCCTCAGAGGGGTCTGTTCATGTTAGGGGGCCAGAGCCAGAGAGGACAGGAGAGGCCATACGAGTGGTCCTCAGAGTGTGGTCCCTGGGCCAGGAGCATCGGTGTCTCCCTGGGTCGTCATCAGAAAGTCACATCCTTACACCCCAGCCCAGACCTAGTGGATTAGAAACTCCAGAGCCCAGAAATGCATGTGTTACCCACAACTCTCAGTGATCCGGATGCCCCCTCCCATGGGAGAAGCTCTGGGTTGGGCAAGCATCTCATTTCACAGAGAAGGAATAAGAGATCCAGAGAGGAGCAAGGAGTTATCCAAGGCCACGGCGCAAAATACTGACAGAGCGAGAGCAGGGGCCCCCCACCCAGAGCCCACCCTGATGGCCACCTAGGGAGGCGACAAGGAACACAAGGGGCCACGCGGCCTACTAGCTTTTCTTCCGCAAGTGGCTTTGCAGCTGCCACCCCCGCCCCCCAGGAGCACCATGGGGTGTTGGCCCAGCCTTCCCGACAGCTCCAGAAAGGGGGCTAGAGAGGGAAGCTCTGAGCCCTCAGGGAGCGACAGTTCCAGCAGAGCCCCCCAGCTCTGGTCTCCAGGACTCATCCCGCCGCCCTCTGAGCGAGGCTGGCTGGTTGGTGGGACACCCGGGGACCTTTCCCTCCCTGGACAATTCAGAATTCAATGCCTTGGGAAAGCTTTATTCTTGGCTCCAGAACAAGACTCGGCACACAGAAATTGACAATCAGGTGATTCCACACCCCGCCCGCCCCACCCCAACCCACAGACATACACCATGGAATAGGTCCAGCACGCCCTTGACAGTCTGGCGCCCCCCAGCCCCATGGGCCGAGAGGGGGAGGTGCCGACCTGATCCAGGGGAGCCCCAGGCCGGCGGGCTGGACAAGGACACTCCTAGAGGAGCCGGCAGGGGGTGGGGTGGCAGAGGGACACAGCGCAAGGGCGGGCTTCCATCTGTGGCCTTGGTGTTGGGAGAACCATGATCACCCTCTGTCTCAGCTTAAGGATGGGTGTCCCGTCAGCACAAGGCAGGGCGGGAGTGAGGCAGGACACGGCTGTGGCAGGAGAGGGAATTTGGGAAAGGGATGACCTGGCTGGGAACAGAGGGTCTACTTGTCAAGACATCAAAAAGACTTCAAGGGTCACCACTTGAGCCTCAAGCCAAGTTCAGTCCATAGTCCAGGACATGGGTTTACCGGGCTGGGGGGTCCCCTCTGTGGGGCACGAGAGTTCCTCCTGCCTCCCCACCCCTCTCCCCTCCCAGAGCTGGCTCGCAGGCTGCCCCATCTCCTCCGTCCTTTGTGGCCTACTTGTGTCCACGCTGATGAAATGCCCCCTCCTTGTTGCTGTTCTTCCTCAGGACAGCGAGGAGGGAGCCCAGGCTTTGGGCTCCTCTCCAGCCCTATACTGGGGCCACACTGGTCTGCCTTCCCCAGAAGCCTCCTGGACCCAGCATTTTCTTGCTGTGCAGTGGGGAAGCCCCGCGGGGCTGCCCAGAGAACCCGCTCCTCCTCCAGTGCTCCCATGTCCCAGTCGCTCCACAACCACAAGCTGGGCCAGTGCTTGGGACCCCTTCCCCACCACCACTGGAGACTTGGCCCTGGCCCCACTCGGTATCTCCTCCTCTCCACCCCCCGCCCCTGCCTGAGGTCCCTTCCCTTCCCTGCCCAGTATCCAGCCAGATGGCCTCCTCCGTGGGCAGGCCTGTCCTTCCAGCCCCGGCCTGGCCTCTGCGGCCTGCCCAGGGTCACCCCGAGGGGTAATAGGGAGTATCGCTGTGGTAGTTGTAATCCGGGCACACCTTCTGGACCAGCCTGTAGTCTGTGCTGTAGAAGGCGATGTAGACACAGACGACTTTGAAGGGCTGGGAACAGCTCCAGGTGGCGGAGCTCTGAGCGTGGTCTCGGGAGCAGGTCTTGGCCGGGTCGTGGGTGCAGAGCGAGGTCCGGCGGCCCCGTTCCACCTTCTCCCACTCCATTCGGCAGTTGAAGATTTTGGAGGCCTTGGCTTCGATGAAGATCTGTTGCTCCTGGTGAAATTCTACAGCTTTACTGGGGGGCACGAGGCTAATGGAGATGTTGCCTTGGCCGGTGGCATTGTGTCGGAAGTGGACGCTGAAGGTCCCGTTGCCGTGGTCCACGATCTTCCCCGTGACGAGCAGGTTCAGGGCCACGGTCTTGATGTTGGAGTAGAAGTCACCCCAGCCGAAGATTTTCTTCACCTTGGCCGAAGGCGGGGGGCTATGGTTTGGGCGGTTGGGGGGCTGCCCAAGGACGCCCCATGCCTCCCCAGGCAGAGCCAGCAGCCCTAGCAGAGTGGAGTTGGCCATGGGACGGGACTTAGGTGAGATGTGGCCCCGCTTCCGAGGCATCCGAGGCCGGGGCTGGCTCTCATGGTCATCGCGCTCAGGGTCCTCTGAGCCAGGAGGGCCATCATCCAGGCCACAGATGACCTGTGGAGGGAGTTGGGAGGAGAGTGAAACCCCCATCCCCAGAGGACCCAGGAGTTCTGGTCTCTGTCCCCCACCAACATCCTGTCCCTTCCACTGACCTGACGTTGAGGGACCCCTGCATATCACCCACTTCGCTAGGGGTTGAGTGTACACTCTGCCTTGTGTCACGGCCCCAGCTCCCCTGCTGACATTCAGGTCACCCCCACCCCATCCCTCCCACCATCCTGCCTTTGGCCACTACTCTAAGTCTGGAAGGATGATCAAGAATTCCCTCCAGCGGACAAGAGGACACAGTCCCTGCCCCTAGGGAGTTTCCAGTCTGATGGGGGAGGCCCAGCTCCTGATCCTGGGAGAGTCCTCACCTGTCAGAGGCGTAGCCTTGTGCTGCCGGAGCCTCCGGTCTTACAGGAGAGGTTGGTTATAAGGTCACAATTTCACAGAGGAAATTCCCTGCCTCTGAGAAATTCACAAGGTGATGGGAAGGCATAGCCACTGCCCTGAAGGAGCCCCAAGTTGAATAGGAAAGCTCCACCCCTACGCTGGGAGAGACCTCGGGGTTGGCAGGAGAGGTGCAGGCCCTGCTTTTTGGCATGTCCTTTTCTGTCGGATGAGACATCGCCACCCTTAAACCCTAGGATATTTTGTCCTCGGAGGCTAAGAGACCCAACAGACAACAGAATAAGAAAGCAGTGACGTTTCCGGTCATGTATAAATGCAGTTTAAGTTTGGACAGGAGGACTAGGAGGAGCCCTAGAGTGAACTCCACCGCCAGGAAGGCCAAGATAGGGAAGGTCAAAAACTCAGGGGATCACCCATGAGGACGTGCCGGGACCCTATTGCTCCCTGAGGCAGGAGTTCTTATGCCCATTCTACAGATGAGGACACCAGGATTCAAAGGTGACATCCCTACGAGGCTGAATCACACAGGGTCAGCCCTTTCATTCCATGGCTCCCTCCTGGCCTCAGGAACCAGATAGGGTCGTTTATGGAGGTTCTACCCAAGCCCAGGCCCACTGGGACTCTTGTGCCAAACTGCTAAGCCTTGGCCAGCCAATGCCGGATCGGCTACGGCAACAGGCAGCACCTGGGAAGGCCTCCTGGAGGGGCTGTGGGGCAGGCCAGCCTGACAGTGTGACCCAGCTCGGACACCCAGTGGCTCAGGAGGGCATCAGGGAGTAGATGAGGTCTCCTAAGGGCAGCGGCAGGAGTGTGCTTACTCAGCTTCTAGAGTACTCGCCCTGCGTGTCTGTCTTTCCAGCGCTAGGGGCTCCAGCTCACAGCTGGGCAGTGTTTGGGTTTCCGGGTGGCCCCTGGGGTGAGGATGAGGGATGCTGGAGGGCTGGTCTCTGGAGGGCTCCAAAGGGACCCCTGGGTCTCCATGATCCCCCTCCCTCCACCCCTCCCCCGTTCTGGCCTCAGCTATGCCCGCAGAGGCATATGACCCTACCAGCTAGGCCCCAGGGGTAGGGCAGAGGGACAGCCAGGAGGGCCCCAGGCTGCAGCCCCCTGTTACTTGGCCCCGGGGATCGCCGCTCAGTGGCTGGAGGGTGGGGAGAAGGGCCGCAGGTGCGGATAGAAGGAAAGGGTGCTTCCACACTGTGGCAAAGGGGAGGTGGCACGGGGGGGGGGAGTGTTATTGTTTTGAGGAAACGGGCAGGTCCAGATGTGGGGCCGAGGCTTCCCTACGGCAGGACTGGGGGCGGGGGGCGGGGGTGGGACTCCCGGGCGTCCCGGGCGGCAGGGACGCGGCGAGCGAGCGCTCGGGGAGCGGGCTCTGGGGCGCTCCGCTCAGCCGCCGCGGGCGCCCGGGGCGGGAGCCGCCTGCCCAGGTCCTGTGGGGCTCGGGCTGCGCGCAGCCGGGAAAGGAGAGGAAAACAACAGGCGGGGAGGGAGGGAGCGGGAGGGAAGGCGAGAGCGGGCGCCGCGGGGGGCCGCCCCCTGCCTGGACAGGCTCTGCGCGCCGGGGGACCCAGGTCCCGGGCCTCGGGGTCCCCGAGGTCAGAGAAGAGCCCAGGGCCCCAGACCCGGCAGGTGGTCAGCTCTGCCGCCCACCTCCATTCCCCTCCCGCGCGTCCCGGGGCGCCGGGACGGGGTCGAGGAACCCTTGGCGCCCCGCTGCTGGCCTTTTCCCTCGTGCTGGTCGCACCTCCCGCCGCCGGCGGCCGAGTGGGTGGGCCAGCCGCGCACCCTCTCCCCGCCCCTATTAACCCTTGCGGGCCAGTCTCGGTCCTCGGACCCGCCCTCTCCCCCGGCCTCCGGGCTTCCCCCTCCATCCCGGGGATGTCGTGGGGAAGGGAGAAAGTTTCCGGGCTCTCCCCCGTCCTCCGGGCCCCCGCCCCTCCGCGCAGCTCCCCGCGGGCCACTCACCAGATAGAGGCTTCCCTGCACTAGGAACACGAAGCAACAGCGAGTCAGTTGCATTTTCCTCCTTTGCTCTCGGGCCCCTCGCTCTCCTCTTTTGCTGCCGGGCTCCCAGGCCCCTGTCTCGCCCCTGCTCCTTCAGGCGCGCCGTCCCATGCTCCAGTCCCCAGCGGCTCGCGGCCCTCTCCTCTGCCGGGCGCCCGGGACCGACCCCGCCCCCTCCGGTCCAGCTGTGCGGCCGCCGCTCCCCTCCCCCGGCCCAGCTGTGCGCGGCGCGGCCCCTTCTCGAGGTCCCAGATGTGCGCCCCGAACGCCTCGAAGGGCCCCAGCCGCGCGGTGCCTCTGCCGCTCCAGATCTGCGCTAGGCGCCCCCCTCGGTCCAGCGGCGCCGCTCTCGCCCAGATGTGCTGGGGACCCGCGCGCGCGCCCGTCCCTGGCGCTAATTCCCCAGACCAGACGGCCCCTCCCGCCCCGTCGCGGCGCGCCCCCTGGCGGAAGCCCCTAGCCGCGCGGAGCCCCGCCGCCGGCTCCCCGCGCAGCACCCTGCTAGACTGGAGCGCTCCTGGCGCCCAGGCGGCTCCCGCGTCCTCGTCCCTCCCACCCGCCGCCGCGGCGGCGGCGGCGGCGGCAGCGGCAGGTACGGTGAGCCCAACCGGTACCTCCGGAATTAACTCCTCCCCTGCCGGCCCGCAGCCCGGGGACCTAGGACTAAGGGGCAGGACGCGGGGGCGGAGGAACTCTCGGCCAGGAGAGGAGAGGGTGGTGGCCCTGGGATGGGGACCCTGCCCTTTCCATCCCTCTGGCAAGGCGCCCGTTCCTCTGCAGCGGGCAGTGGGAATCCGCTGTTCTCCCCGAGTCCCAGGAGACCTGGACTTGGGAAAGGTTATTTTTTCCAAACCCATTCCTACAGCCAATAAAGAACGTCAATAACGAGGAGCCTATCCCCATAGCTGAAAGTCACTTTGTTTCTGCAGGACTTGTTTCTGTGCTGAGGAAGTTCTTCTAGAAGTCTAGCTTCTACTCCCTTGTTACAATGTCAGTTTTTTCCTCTTCTGCTTTACTCAGAGGGGCTCGGATAACCACCCCCCACCCCCACACACCCTGTCCAGTCATTGTGACAGGAAACTTTCGTCCAGAGTCCTGGGCTGAAAAGGTCACTAGGGGCCAGGCGGATTTCTGGGGCTGGGGTCAGAGGTAAGCCTCCCAAGAAGCTGAGGACAGGCAGGCAAGGTCTCCCTGGAGCTGTGTCAGCAATCTTCACTACTTCCCCTCCCTGTAACTCAGGGGGTGACCAGGCTGGGACATGGTGCTCCTATCCGAACGGGGTCCTTCATCCTCTCTGACCTCTCTGCCAACCTCCAGGGCAAGGAGGAAGAGAAGGACCCTGATCTGAAATCCCCAAAGGTGCGTCCCACTCTCCATCATCCCACTCATAACCCATATTTCCTTGCTGGAATTCCAGGACCCCTTTAAAGTCCTTAGGAAAAGCAAAGGTCAAGTCCTAGCACCCCTTAGAGGCTGGGAGGGTGAGGAGGTACCCCAGCAGCTGGAGTGGGCCCCAGCTTGGGCCGGGGCCCAGGGAGCACACCGGGTGGGCACTGTGCTCTGTGGCCCTCCAGGCCCAGCTTGGTCTCTGGCCGCAGCCCCCAGCACGCACCCAGCCTCCTCCCCCACCATCTGCCAGGCGGGTGCGCGGGGAATGCAGATGAATCTTAATATCAGCCTGGGCCAAGTGCGATGAGGGAGACAGATTCTGCAGAACCCAGACAGCATCACAGAGCCCCCTGCGTTCCCCCAGGCACCCTGGGCAGTACCAGGATGCAGCAGCCCTTCCCTGATGGAGTCTGTGTGTTTGTGTGTGTGTGCATGTCCATCAACGACCCCCAAAGTCAGGGGAAGAAGGAGCAGATAAATCTTGGTCTGGCCTCTGAGCCTCCAGTCCGGCTGGGAGGGAGAAGCTGTCGGCCTGAGCGTGGGCAGCTAGTTCCGGTGTTCAGCCAGGCAGAGGCATCGCGGGGCCCACTCCCTGTCCATCCCCAGAAGGTCCTAACCCCAGGAGAGCAGTGTAGCTCAGGGGAACGAGCACAGGTTTTCAGGCCAGACAATTCCTGGATTCCTCTCCCGGCTCGGCTGTGTGACCTTGGGCAGGTTGCTTTGGTTCTCTGATGCCAGTTTCCTGATCTGTTGTTGCAAGAACTAAAAGAGACAAAATGTGCAAACAAAGCTCAGGCACAGTGGCTGGTGGGCAGTCGTGGGAAGGCAATAAAGGGAAGCTCTCGCTTTTCTACTTCCCACACATTTGCTCTGGCTGTGCCTCCTGCCAGGCTTGCCCTCCCTGCCCTCTTGGCCGTTTCCAGCTCTCACTTCCTCCGAGTTCCCCCCTCTGCATTCATCTCTCGAGCACTAGCTGAGCCTGTCCTCAGTGCCAGGTTCGAGGCCAGGGTCTGGGATACAAAGGCAGATGGGACACCCACCCTCCCTGCCCTCAAGGATCTCACTGGCTGCTGTGCATCTGAGACATGGAAATCAATGATTATAATTCAGTGTGGCGAGTGGAACAGCAGGATCCCTGTAACAGGCATTATGGATGCACCAGGTACAGTGCGGGCAGGGTCCGGGAGAATCAAGGATGGCCTCCTGGAGGAGGTGATGCCGAGGATGTGAGGAAGAGTCAGCCCAGCAAGGCCCCTTCCTGGCAGAGGGCACTGACTGGTCAGAGGTAGGAGGCTGGAAGCAGAAGCCATGTGCTCTCCCTGGAGCACAGAGGGGAGTGAGGCGGGGAGAAGAGGCTGGAGTGGGAGGCTCTCATGTGTTGGGTCATGGGCTGGGACCTTTGAAGGGTTTTCAGGGGGCTGGTGATTCTAGTCAGATTGCATTTTGGAAAGCCTTTGGGGAACACTGGAAAGAGGAGAGACTAGAGGGAGGGAAGGGACAGGAACCAGTTAGGGGATGGAGGCAAGGGTCTGGGGAAAGAGGGGGGACACCAAGAACATCTTTAGGAGGTGAAATAATCAGGAGGTGATCGTTGCTGGGATGAGAGAGGAAGGGAGGAGAGGAGTTGAGTATGATCCCCAAGTTTCTGGTGTGGGCAACAAGGCGGGACGCTTGCTGAGGTGAGCACCAAAGGCGGGGTGGGGGGAGGGAAGAAGGCGGGTTCTGGGGAAAGGATGATGGGGTCAGCTTTGGTCAGGTCAAATCTGGATACTGCTGGACATCCAAGGGCGGAATAAAGTCTAGCCTGGGGTGCAGGAGGGGTGGATATACAAAGGGAGCGAGGGGCTTGGATGGGGGAGCCCTGGGTACCCTGGCATTAAAGGGATGGGCAGAGGAAGAGCAGCCCCCAAAGGACCCCAGCGAGGAACTGGACGCCAGGGCAAGGAGGGCAGGCAGGCTGGTCCTGGAAGCCAGGGCTGCGGTCGGGCTCTCACAACTGAGTGTGCCAGGCAGAGTGGGGTCCTTACAACACATGCAGATTCCAGCATCCCATCCCAGGGAGCTTTTCAGGAGACCGGAGCCCAATACCATAAGCCACTGCACCCCGACCCCCGCCCATCCCAGGTGACATCAATGGAGGTTGCCTCTGAACGTCACTCTGATAAACCCTGGTGTGTGGGAAGTGTCAGGAAAGAGGGGAGGCCGAGCAGCCTGGCCACAGACAGACAGAAAAGTGACCGCCGGGTTGGGCTGGGATCCCTCTGGTAGCTAGCTGTACCCCACCTTGGTCCCTCTAGCTGCTCCCAGGGGAGGGTGGCCAGCATGGCTAACCTCTCCATGTCCCCATGGCTCCTCCCCTACCATGCCCGGGGGAGCAGAGAGCAGCTGCTCAGTGAAGGGGCAGAACTCAGTGCATGAGCCCCGCCCCCCTGGCCCCCAGCCTCCTTGGTGCCTCCGTGGGCACACCGGGTGCCATTGGCATTGACTTAGCTCCTCCGTTTGCACCTGCTTCTGCCTCTCCCAGGGCAGGATCATGTCTGCCTCCCTTTCCTCCTCCTGCCCACCCCCCGTTGCTGCCGGAAAGCAAACAGCACAGGCTGTCCCTGATCAGTGCATATCGAATGGATGGGAAATGGGGTTCCTGATGCTTTGAAAGGCAGAGAGTGGATGCCCTTGAGCAAGCTGGAGCCAAGAGGTCTGGGGGCAGGGTGGGGAGATAGCCGCAGATCATGACCAGCAACAATCGCTCATATTTACCTGGCCATTTGCAAGGTGACAGTGTTGTCACGGGGTGCTATGTACAGGGGACTCAGGGAGCCCAGAGGGAAATCCTAATTCAAATGAGGGGGCCAGGGACTCCTGGCCGAGAAACTGGTCCTGTGATATGAGGATCGGCCCAGGTGGGAGGGGAAGGAAGGAACCTTTCCGGAAGAGGAAGCAACTGCAAAGGCCAGACATGAGAGCAATGGGAGTGGGGTTCTGAGAGGCCGAGATGAAAGGATGATTTGTTCCACAAATAGGCATTGGGCCTCGACTTTTATGTCGGGCCCTGGGCTGGGTGTGGGGGTACAGCTGTGATCGGCGGTCCTTATGGGCACACAGAATTTGGGCTCTGACAGAGGCAGAGACGAACCAGCCGAGCACACAGAAGCACGAGCTCTAAGCGGTGGCAAGCGGTGTGAGGGCAGGACAGCAGGTTCTGAGCAAGTGGGAAGCTCAAGAGGGCCCGGGGGTGGGGGTGGGGGGGCTGTGAGAGCTGCCGGTGTAGCGGGGACCCAATGGCCAGGAGGCCTGGGCTGCCACACAGTGGGAGAGGGGGCTTCCAGGCAGAAGGAACAGGATGTGCTGGGACCCCTGGGAGGAGGAAGAGTCCAGCGCCTCAAAGTGTAGCTCAGGAGGGGAGAGGGAAGAAGAGAGCCAGCCGGGCCGATGGGGCTGGATGGTCCAGGGCTTTAGGGGTCCAGTTAAAGAAAGGTCTTGGGTTTCATCCTGTGATTCAGGTGGTTTGGGTTGATAACGAGTTTTAAACAGGGGTCAGATCTACACTCGGAACAGTCGCTAGAAAGATCACTCTGACAGCAGTGTGGAGGGTGGATTTGGGAGGAGGTAAACTGGAGGCTGGGAGGTGAGGGTGGGCTGATTTAGGGCAGGGGTATGGGATGGACGGGATGGCCTTGAAAGATGTTTAAGGGGTGCAATGGAGAAGAGTCTGACTTCAGGACATGGGGTTGAGGAGGCAAAGATGACCCCCGGTTTTCCGGTCTGAAGGACGAGACTAAGATCAGGTTCACTGGAGG